TCTATCTATCTCTATCTCTTGCGTTCACATTAAAAGGGGGCGAAGCCCCCCTATAATTCCATTAAGATAGGTTTTCTAGGCAACCTAGGTTGCCTAGGAAACCTTTCTTAATGGTATATAAACTACTACAAATAATTGATTCTATGTTTATATCGAAAGAATGGCTGAATATATGGACCAAAACGAGAAGATATACAAATCATTGGCTCATATAAGACACATATACTCTCAGCTGAGCGCCGATGAGCTCCGATTGAGGGCTGAATTCTGGGCTAAAAGTGTATTGTTTTGGACAAAAGAGAGTGAATTTTGGCAGTTTATGGACGAGAGGTTGAGACTGGACTGCGAGGCCAATAAAGTGGAGACACAAATCATTTATAACCTAATCATACGAATCCTTAATTCCGATAAATATATTCAAACTACAAAAGGCTTAACTTTGGACTCGATTCGTGACATTCAAATGAATGCTGAGTTTGATTTTGATTGTTAGAAATGCTTATAATTTTACATATAATTTATTAATATGTAATTTATAGGAAAACTACTAATTATGTATTTTGTAAAACAATCATAAATATATTAATTTTGTATTTTTATATAACACTAGTTTTTATTGCATAAGCTTACTTTATTATACTGTATATTGTAAATTATATAAGAGAATTTTAAACTAAATATTTTAGGTTATTTTATTTATCCCGTAAAATACGAAAGTATTTGCAATGATGATAGATTTGCAAAATACGGTATACATTAATTAATTGAAGTTATGTTTTAATTCATTCATATTTTACTGTAAATGTGTAAAACATTTCAAAATTCAAGAACACAAATGTTTTATAAAATAATCATTTGTATAATTATGTTCATTTAGTCTATAATTATTGTTTATTTCAATTAATTCATAAAATTATTGTACGAATTCATTGCAATAATTGTTAAATAATAATTAATTTTCCAAGAAATTGTGGCAATAAAAATGGACCATGTTACCTCAGAACAATTGTGGTATTAGTTATTTATTTTTATAAATTATTTTAGATAAAATTATATAATGTAGGTAATAATTACGCAACTTTTCTAATCAAAATACCAGTTATTAAACTACAATTTACTATTGATTATTGTATAATAACTTATAAATTAATTTGAATTTTTCGTAATGTAATTAAAATGTTTATACACTTATACATAAATAACTTAATAATATATAAATTATATAAAAATGTACGTAATTATTAAATTGAAATATAATTAAAAATACAGTATTAATAATCAAAATAATATGAATGAATTAAAATACTTTAAACTGAATGTTAGGAACCAATGGATTCATGTGATGACAAATTCATCTGAAGAGGAGTTTATGCCGGAACTGGTCTTCTCGTGTCAAACACCACAACAAGACATTATATACTCGGATGAGTTACGTCACGTCGACGCCTACCTGTTTGGCACAGAGCTATACGTTGAGCCCATTTATAGGACCGACACCACTGTGTCAGGCAATGAAAACGAGCAAGCACATTGCGATGACATTACCATGAATAACCCCGATCATAATTACTTTAAAGCGAGTGACCCTGTATTTAATGGGAAGATTAATAACAAGATGGTAAGTGCGGCCAATTGTCGGCTAACCAGAAGTGCTGTCAAGAGAGGCCTGTGTCTTAATGAATCAGAAATACAGGTTAATAATACAAAACGTGGTAAATTAATTGATAATATCACCGAGATAGTATTAGGTAAATTTATAACCTATTTATATGTTTTAATTTATATTGAATCTAATTTTTATATTTGTTAATAGATGAACAATATTACGCCTGGAGTCCATCGGCCACACCATTGGGCGAGTATGCGATCGACAGAATTGTTTCAATTGAAACAATTGACGGACAGATATATTTCGGTGTCAAATGGTGTTCATTAAGCGATGAATTCAATACATTAGAGCCGATGGAAAATGTGGTCAATTGTCGGCCGTTTCGGATATTTGCGGCCAATTATGTTGACTTAGGTATGGGTGCGAACACTCAGGCGTATACCAAACGGACGGGCAGACCGTGTAATGCCAACCATAGTTGGAAAGCCGATGCTTACCATAATTTAACAAGCATTACAAAGCCGGCAGATATACCACGAGGTGATAATGATTATCAGATAATAGTCAATCAATATCTCAGGCAATATGTTTCGGAACATAAATACTGTTGCCGTTTGGGTTTTTATAGGTATGTTAACACAGATTGAGTGCTATTATCACAAAAGTTACAATATATTATCAATTTTCTTAACTGTGGTTTAATTTTTTACAGCAATAAAGCGGACAATAAATACAAAGTCTTTGTCAATGAAATTGATTTTGTAATAAATATTGGCAAAGAGTGGAACCGTTTGAGCGCCGATAGCTATCACATCGTCGACGCCTTCATTGGACACCCCTTCCAGACCGTCGACAAGTTGCGCCAATTCAGACACCTATACCCCCAGCACAGGGGCGCACATCTCACACACCCTACCGGTGCTGTCAAGAGGCTGTGTAAAGCCATGAAACAATGTACGGGTGGTGTTGTGTGTCTGGTTGTTGGGCCC